AATGGCTCCTCTTTGCTCAGCTGAGGCATAATGCTTAAATGAGTACAGCAGCTTTGCCCTGAGACTAAAGAAATCTTTCATGATTAAAGCTGACTTTGAAAGAGCACAAATATTTGTTGGAGGGCTGTCCACTATTCCTTAGAAAAAGTTAAAGAATATTTTAATGCCATTCATAATATGAAGTTGGGGACATCAATTTAAAATGTAGTATTTTAATATGCCCACCTAAATGTCCTGTGCATGCAAGCTTCTACTTGCCATGAATCTAACTCTTTAGGGTCTGCCTGGGTCACACACCTCAGTTTCACTACAGATGGCTAGAGAAAAAGGAACAGAGGATTGAGACTCCTGTTGTTTCATCTACCTCGCATCTATCCCAAAATCATGAGCTAGATTTCCTATCCACTTTTGTAGGCTTTCTTTTATAAGTTTCTTTTCATATTTAATCAGGATAGTTCCTCCCTCTTGCTACTATCTTTAGTAATGATACATGAAAAACAATGGCTCATATGATGGTGAGGAATGGACGTTAAAAACTACAGATGGAGTGTTATACTTTTAGAAAATTATAAACAAACACATATTTGATGAATGTTAAATGTTTGCTAATTTCAGGAGTTTTCAAAGAGAACCACATTTATCCACATTGGTAATAGCAGCAAATCACCATCTGAGAATGGCAAATGATCATATCATAAAGCTACAGAAGTTGTCTTTGAAATAGAGGAAAGCTTTCAATTCCTTAAATAATATGCCATTTAAGTCATAAAAGTGCAATAATTTTGAAGTAAAGATAACTCATGTCCTGGCTCCATTGTGAACAAAATGTGAATCATGGTCTCAAGAGAGCTCTCGGGCAGCTGCCCTACTTGCAGCATCTCCTATATGTCCCTTCCCCTCACAAACACACAGCACTCATGACAAACCTGTCTGCTGACCCCAGCACCTCTGGTCAGGGTCATGCTTTTTCATAATGTGGAAGAGACACTCAACAGACAGCAAGTCACAATCCACAGCAATGAAGAGAATGCAGAGCATGTGTAACCTTCAATGTGCCATGGATTGTTTGCTCTTAAATACATCTGTGCCTCACACTTAAAAATTTAATATTCAGAATGTAACTTTGACTAGAGAAAAAAAAGAAAAAAAAAATTCCATTTTCAACTCCCATAATGGCAAAACAAAATTGTATGGGTTCTCAGTGTTTTCCCAATTAAGATTTATTTTTTTTTTCTTCCCCAAAATCTTAGTGGGATAGAGAAGGGGAGAGGATACCAATATAGGAAAAAGAGGTAGGAAAAAGTTGATTTAAAATAGCAAGTGAAGAGTAAAAGGCTACAGCTTTTGACCACACAGGGAATGAGGTCAGGCTACTCAATCTTGCAAACTAGAGGCAAGAACACTCTCCCTCCCCACAGTCATTATGGGAAGTCTGGCTTAAGAAGTGGTGTTCATATGCCACACTGGCTTGTTCTACTCGTAATTCCAATGAGAACTAAAAGCCAGTATTAAAGACCTGCCCATCAGGGTGTGTCACTCAGACCAGCAGCATCACCATTACAGAGGAGCTTGTCAGGAACTCAGACTCTCAGGCCCAACCCATGACATATTGAACCCAAATGTGCATTTTAACAAGATGCCCAGGTGATTTTGCATGCACAGTGATGTTTGAGAATAACTGCTCTAGAGGACATGGAATGAGCAGGTGCACAGCTAATCCCTTCCTACTGAGGGTGTTTACTTGACTTCTCCACTGCAAATAAATTCACCACTGTTTCCAGCAGGACAAGTTCTACTGCACTTGGATAAGAAACAAAACTGGACTTTGAATTCTTTTTTTGCTACCTCCCAGCAAGTTACTGAACTTATCTGAGTACCAGTTTCCTTGTCTTAAAAAAAAAAAAAAAAAAGGAATAGGAAAGAAAACTATTTTACAGGGCTGTTACGAGAATTAGATGAGATAGTAATGTAAGGATGCCTAAAAATGTGTCCAGCATAAGGCTAAAGACTGCTTCTGATTTGGTAATGCAATACAGGATCTGCAAACATTGCTTTAACATTGAAAGAATAATGCCAGTTTTCCCAAAGTTAGCATATACATTTCATACAATTCTAATAAAAATCTCATCAGATATTATTATTTAGATAAAATAATCTTAAAGTACATATAGAAAAAGAAACCTTAACCAAAACAAGAAATGCAAGTGTAAAAAAATATAAAAGAACATACAAAATTCTATAGAAAAGTTATATTAAAAAGAATATTTAAAAATATATTTAACTATTGTATAGCAAAAGATAACATAAATGGAATCAAAAAACAAATAGCAGGGAAAACCTAAATGATGATATGAAATAGCTAATGAATATGAACTATGAAATAAAATGATATACATGAAAAAATATATATGCAAATGACGTTCATGTTCACTGGTAGTGGGGGAGGTACAAAATAAAGTAACAATGAAATAACACTCTAAACTTTTCAGATTGGCAAAAATTCTAATGTTTTGTAACACCAACAAGATGGCAACAAATCATTTTTCAGAAGGCCAATACTTTTGTTACATAATGGAGTATATTGGTACTGTTATTTCTAGGGAATAAGACTCCAAGGACAATATCACTGGGTCAAAGGAATTGTACTAGTGACAGCAGTAGGAGGTAGCTGTGCTAATGATAACAGTAACAATTACTACCATCACTCACACAAAGATAGTAGCAATATACCTCCTGGTCATCTCCTTGAGAGCATTATCATTACTGTAGTAGCTGTAATAATAACAACTGCAAGTACGACCACTACCACATAGATAACACTGATTATGTGACACTGTTCTAACCATTTTAAATACGTTAATTCTAATCCTCACAGCAACTCTAAAAAATAGGAACAATTGTTCCTATTTTACAGACTAAGAAACTGAGACGCTAAATGTGCCTGGCAAATATAACAAAAATTATTTGTTATCTATTTTTTTGTTTCATTGGTGTCATCACATACCTTTTGACATATCAATCCCACTCCTATGACTCTAACCCAAATGAGAAAATAAGTTTAAAAAAAAATCAAGAATATATATGTATAGAAGTGGGTGTATGTGGACAGGTATGAGTGAATCTATCTTTGTATGAAACAAATTAAAATAGAGAGGGATGCATAGTAGGTGGTGATTACTTTGTTGGCATGGAGGTGATATTAGACAGAAGGGTTGAGAAAAGGTAGAAGTAACCCAAATAAATCAATAAATCAGAACACACACACACAGAGTTAGAAAGTTGAAGTACAGGATAACAACAAAGAAGTCACATTTTACATTCTCCAGGGACACAAAAAGTCCTGGAGGATTTTAAGGAATAGGTGTTTTGAAACAAATTTCATTTTTCAGAAGAGCAATAGTTTTGTTAAACGATTTGGAGTTTTTCTCACAAACACAATACAGATTATTAACAAATTTTCCAAAGCTTTACTCTTTACTGAACAACACCAAAAAAGCCTTAGGAATTCCAAGGTACAAAACTCAATAAGGCTACGTGTTAACGGCACTGTCTAAGGACAAGAAAGCCAAGTTCTGTTCCTGGCACTGCCACCATTGGACTATTTGACCTTTGGCAAGTCACTTAACCTGCACTTAATTTCCTCATTCACAAAAGAAGGAAGTTCAACCAGGCCATCTTTAAAGCTCCTACTAGTGCTAGAACGTGATGATTTTATAATTAAAAAGCATAGTGCAGAAAAGTGAAAAACTAGCAAATAGGAATAATAATTATTATTTGTTTTAAAGAAACAAGAGTTCAAAATCTTAATACCTTGTAGCTAAGCCAGTAATTTAATGACCCACTTAAAAATGTACCTTTTAAGAATTAAAAACTACAATAAGATCAATTAATAATTTTACATTTCCAAATGGTGAATTTAACTACTCAGTGTTTTAATTTTCATGTTGAAAAAAAATGCTGTCATTTAGATATTTTTCAGATTACTCATTGAAGCAAGGCTTAATTTGTCCCTTAAAATGGTGTCATCCATAAGAAGCAGTTCAACCAAAATGTCATCCTCTAGAGACCACGGGTAACAGCCCTATTTTTAATACATAAATTGCACATTAAAATTTCTAACAGAAAAATTTGAATTTAAATTAATAGAACACAAAAATGGTAAAAAAAAAAATATATTTATATATACACACACACACATATATTATCTACTTAAGCATGAAAGCTCCCTAAAGCAACATTCAACATTTAATTTTCATATTTTCCTAAGTTTTAAAAATAATAATGTAATTTCAGTAACACCTTATGAAAATTAATGCCTAAGCATAAGGCATAAAATGTCACTAACTCACAGGGCATCAAGATTTCCATGAGCTTGTTAAATTTTATATATTTTATTTCTTTAAATGGTTATGGGATTTTCCAAAAGCATATACAAAATTCCTTAAACTTTGCCAGCTTAGAAAAAGTTACATGAAAACCACCTTTTCAGACTGTATGGAATCCCCTAGAAAAATCTTTTCATAGAATATCTGGGTATGAATTCCTACAAAACCATATTAAGACTGCTTGTCCCAATCAAATTTTGTAGGTTAGGGTGACGTAAAGAAACAATTTACAGCTCGTACAATTATCCAAAATTCCTGCAAACAAGCGGTTCTCTAAGTAGTAGGTCAATTTTCTTATCTAGGAGTACAAGCACGTGCATTTATTTATATCCCTAGATTAGTTTCGAGTCTAATTTTACTGCCACTAGTATCCAGGGGTGGATTTCTTTGCTTTTCTTTTCTTTTCTTTTTTTTTTTTTTTTCTAATTACAAATGGACTCGAGCTAGATCAAAGGCTTTTTAAGAAGGTCAAATTTTTCTTCTCTGAAAAATAGAGGGTGTGATCCTGTGTTATTAATTAATGCTTGGCCATGCCCTTTGGCGCATTATCTGGTAGCTGCAGAACATGAGGCCAGCCGTCCCCACCTGTTGGTGCAGTGGAACTGTTTAACTTACCCAAAAGAGCAGATTGAGAGCGTACAGCAGGCAGCGCAGGCACTTCACGGAATCTTCTCTGGCCATTGTGAGCCCCGGGAGGGAGAAGCCCCATCCTCTCAGCACATCCTACCCCTTCGGGCAAGGCAGCGGCGCCCTGCAGGAGGCGGGAGAGAACAGGGCACTTCTAACGACCGCCCACCCCGCCGCCAGCCCGCAGCTGCGTGCAGAGGGTCCCAATGCCTAGTTCATTCGAGACATCGCTTCATTAAAAATCATTGCTTAAAGTCATAATAGTAACTAAACTCCCCGAAGTTCCAAACCGGCTGCAGATAACACCTGCTGGGAAGAGAAAAGCCTGCCGTCCCGGATGAATGAAGGCGCGCGGTGAATTCCGGTTCTCCAGGGACACGCGGCGGGGCCCTCTGCATTCTGATGAGACGCTCTTTAAAACCTCCCTCTATCCACGCCCCTCCTCGGGGACAGCTCTGCTAGGAACTGTCCTGAAGGTTAGACACGACACTGCCCCCCCACCCCACCCCCCGCCGAACGTCACAGGCGCCACCGGCGAGCCCTAGGACGCGAGTGCCCTTCTCGTTAGGACAGTTCCTGGGCGCCCCCCCAACTCCGCACCCCAGCCCCGTCCGGCAGCTAGGGTGTGAACGCGGGGGACAGGAGGGGGTGCAGCGCGGAGCTGGGTTTCTTTGGGAGAACGTGAGAAATGACGTTTTCAGCCCCAGGATGATGAATTAGCCTGGGGCGGGGGGCGGAGAGGGGGCGCCGGGGAATTAGGGCCGGTGCAGCTGTGCAGACGCCGGGGTAGTCATTCTATACCCCTCCTCCCCCGGCCCCGGCCGCTGCCGCGACCCCGCGCCCCCAGC